ATACCATCATACTCCTCACACATTTGGAAAACAGCTGGAACTTGAGTTTCTGTTGCAATGAAGTATGAAACACTTAAGCAAAACACAACATGATGGAACAAGTAATTTAGTACTCCATTAGAGCAATAGGGATAAATTCAAGAGACCTCTGCTCTAAACAGAGAGCAAGCAAATGAGTGACTAGGAGAACAGAATGCCAACCGCTACATATATGGGGGGGCTTTTTATTTGTTTTAATTCTACTCAAATATAAAGAAGGAGAACAGCAGAAAATAGGACAAAATGGTAGGCCACAGGTAAGTACATAAAGATGTGCTGAGGTCAAATAAATACATGTGACTGAGGAGGTGCCAGAAAGAAAGGCATGGAATCAGAAGAGCAAATGACTGACAAGAGACTGGTAAAAAGATGAGTAAGACAGCTGAGGAGAGGCTGCTATCCATTTAGGATTGTCCAAGTCCTCACAAAGGACTCTTTATGAAGCACTCAGAAGAAACTGCTCATGACCTTATTGGAATCCCTAAAGCTCACAGATCAGTGTCCCCATGGGAGGAAACAAAGCTATCAGGGAGATCGGCTTTCCCTCATATTACAGCTTCCGGGGAAAAAAAAACAAGTTATCCTCAGTTCCTCTGAATACATGTAGTTAAAGGACTGTATTTCAAATTGTCTATACACTCTCACATGTCATCTGACTGCAGCTACCTATTTCTTGCTGAAATAATGCCTATTGAGCTTCCTGGTATTAGAAGCATTTAACGCTTCTGCAAGCCTTGCTATTTATTGGGTAATTTTACTTTGATATTGAGTGCTTGGAGAAACACCTCAGAGAACTTAAATACTAACCAAGCACTACAGATTGTTAAATACTAACCAAGAACCATACAGGTTTCTCCATCTGCTTTAAGAGCCATTTGATTATGGCCACTCTAAAGTGGTAAGCATTTTATGTCACTGTCCCAAGAACTTAATTCTTGCTTTTCTTGTTAAATAAAACAACCCTCCAGACTGAGAGACCTACACTCCTGGTTTGCACACTACTGCCCTAGATTCAATCCTTTGCACTGTTTTGGGTGAGGTGTCTGCAGTAGGCCCTTTCCTCCAAATCGTTCAACATCATATTTCACCAAGAGAACCAAACCACTTAACATCCCTAACTGTTAAACCAAGACAAACACTTATGCAATCTGATTCCATTCCTGCTCCTATTGTCCCATCTCTGCCTGTAATTTTATTAGCCTTCTCCAGTGGATCTGTCTGACAGAATAAACCAAGCCAACAAAGCAATTATGGATCTGAAGATAATGCCAGTAAGATTTTGAACTTTGAAAGCATTTCTGATATCTGCTCATTTTGACTGCAAAACATTTCCCAAAGGAAAGAGGCACAAATACAGACAAAAAATAATCAGAAAACATTCATAGAAACTTAATAGCAAATGTCTACCACTAAACTTAGTTTTATGTTTCCAGCTTCTTGAACAACTTTCCTGTAGCCTGTTCTTAAAGGCTACAGTTACTCACATTAGCTTTATTGTTATGAATATTTAAGAAGTCTCAAAGGAAATGATAAGAATGGGATTCAAGTAGTTTCCTGCCTGTTAATCTTCATGGAGTGACACTGATACTGATACTTTCTGATACTGTCTGCTGGAAGAGAGTGGCAACTTGTCTTTTGAAATTTACACTAAAATGGAATAGTATAGGACAACAGTGACATTTAGTGTTTAGTACAGTACTAGATTCATTTGTCTAAAAAGACAAACTGCAAAAAAGAATAAGCCCGCACTTTGTTTTCTAAAAACTAAGTATTTGAATACCTGTGGCTGCATAAGGAAGTATAAGCAAAATTTCACAAAAGACAGGCAGTTTTCAGAATTGTTTCTGAACATTTCTTTAAAAACTAACTTTCCCTCATTTCATTAAATACTTATTACCCTAAAATTCAGAAGTCATACAACAACTTCATAACTTCTAGTAAAAGAAATAATGGAAGCACAGTAAAATTTACCTAAAAGGAAACTGAAAAAGTCTATAAGCAACCATTTCCTATGACAGACAAATTGCTAAGAGATCACACTCACCCATTACATTGAACATCAGAAGAGCTCACATTCTGAAGTTAAAACACAAAAAAATAAATGTCTTTCATCATATAATTCTCTACCACCACTTCTGAGATACTAGCTTCTAAACACAGTTACATTTCTCAATTGGCTTTCACTACTCTGATAATGAATCCTTCAAAACAGTCTAGGTTATTATAATATAGGACAATGCATCTCACTGTCTGCCTCTTTAGTTACATTGGTGACTATGAAGCCAAACACAATCCCACAGGAACTGACTCGCCAAATTTACAATTTGCCTCCTGCTATGTTGATTATACTAAAATAACCCAATGTAAATGTTTTGATGTTGTACACCACACGAAAGAACACCGCTGCCTACTTAACTGACTACTAGGGCACAGGGCACTGTAGGCACTTCAAATTTCAGCAGCAGTCAGAGATTCAAAATACTCCAATTTTAAAAAAATCACAGTTAAAGGTTTGAAAATTGGTACTGTAAGAGAAAACCATTTATACTGTAGCCCTAAAGTCTACTGCAGAATATGAAGAATTTGACCCAAAAAAGGGATAATTTTTCTTTAGGCTCAACCACATCAGTTCTAGCTTGACCTGCAATTTTCTAAACTACAGTGTAAAACAGCTACTGTGCTAAAAATACGCTGTTACACAAACTTCGAGATATTCTCTTCAGAGATAGGACTTCCTGATAGGAGTTTCAAATTAATAGGAAGTGTCCTTCCTGTGTTTTCTAGATTGCCAGACTAATGAGTTTGTTTTCAACAGCCTGTAAAAAAATGAAGGAGCAGATTTATCTGTTGACTAGTGCTCAGTGCTTTGAAGTGAAGTGACCTTGTATACAAAGCCAGTGTTGTAGACCACAATCATGCCTATTTAGGCACAATGCTGTAGCACGTTTGGTTTTTCCTGTATTCCTGATGGAATTGTAAAGGAATTGCCTTGAGAGACAGGTAATTGGTAACTTTTATTTTACTCTGCCCTATTAGAAACTGATGGGAATCCTTGCAAAGTAGCTGAGTACAGACTCCTACTCTCAGTGAAGTAATTTCCATGTAGAGAAAGTGAAGAGTTCTGGCCATGTCTATACAGCTATGGCTGTATAGAAACCTACCTGAATCACTCAGCCATATAAGAACACTATGAAAACTCAGCACACCTGAAAAATAACTACAGAACACATACTCTGTACCATAATACAAGGAAAAAATAATCCTAATCTATCATTAGCATTTTCAGATATTAAGGCAAAGTGGCAGTCAACACCAATTTTGAACAAAAGATCTGCTTTAGGATCGACTAACTTTTCAGGGCAGTATGTTTTATGCTTTCCACACAGCAAAAACATGGAACCAAAAGGCTGAAATGCAAATGAAATTACAGCTTTAAAACTAACTAGACATTTGACTGATTTACAGAGGGTGAAGGAGCTCCAGTACACAGCTAGACTAGGAAAGTTAACAGTCAAGAATCTTACCAATTACAAATTTTTCAATCTTTTTCATGTGCACAAAAAAATCCACCCACCATTAAAGAAGGTTAACAATATTGATTCTGACAGATGGGATCCTCCTGACTTCCTACTGCATGAAGTCATGCTCTTGCAAGACTCTTGTTATTGCAACATCACATCACCAACAAAGTGATCATCTGCAATGACTTCAGCAAATTCAAATGAAAAAACAACTCATCGTTAACCTGGTAATAAGCTTTATCTTTCCTACTTCTAAGTTAGCTGACTTAAAATACATACAACAGTTTAATAATTAAACTTCATATGTTCAGAAAAAAAAAAATTCTAATATTAATCCAAGTACCTCATTTTCTCTTTCCCAGTTAATGGAGGATTTTTTTTTTTATTGTAAATGTTGCTGCTCTTTGGTATTTTATCTTAATGAAAAAAAAATAGAAAAAAATAACTTTTGAGTAATTTATCAAAGGAAGTATTACTTTCATCCAGGACTACTAGATAATCATTTCTAATCATAGATAAATAGTCTTTCACAAGATGGAAACAAAGATGAGCCATCCACTTTGTCACAGATCTTAAATTCTACTTTCAACAAAGTTGCTGATAATGGACCAATGGTTAAAATAAAAACAAGTTCTCAGGGAACTGTTACCAAACAGTGCCTGCTTGAGCAGTGAGGTTGGACTAGATGATCCACTGTAGTCCCTTCCAATTTGACCCATTCTATGACTCTGTGATATTGGGAGATACAGACATGTAATTCTGTGGCTTACTACATATATTAAGTAAATACTAAGCATTTCATTCCTAGTCACAGAATGAGACCAACTATTATAGCTACTGTACTATTAAAATCTGAATATTAAAAAAAAAAAACTAAAAAATTCAAGGTAATCAGTGATGACCCTAAGAAACATTTTAAATGTATTTTTTTCCTTTTAAACTGCAGTAATAACATCAATCTCAAGACTCTGACTGTTTCAAGGTCTTGTGTAGAAAATTTTAATTTAACAATCTATTCACACAAAAACAGATATTCTCACCTATTTTTCTAATAATTTGAATTTTTTCCACTTGTAATGCAATAGCAATCCTTAAGCAGTGAAGTTTTGCTACACATCACTAGAATGGTTTAACTGTGCTCTAACCAGAGCACAGCCTTATAGGAAAGGACTGAAGAGTTACTGAAGTTGAATGGCAGCCTGCCATTAAACCTCTGTTCTGTCACAATTCCCCTCAGGCATCTTATGAGAGGTCTCTTGTTTAAAAGCAGATTTGTGTTGTGAAAGTAGAAAGAAAGGCAGGGTAGGAAATGCCAGGAAACGCCCTTCTGAGCTGTTAGTATCGTTTCTGTGATGCGTCTTTTTTTTGGAGACCTTCAGTATATTTCCGAAAATAAAAAAGAGGAAAAACTTCAGCTACAGAAATAAACAAAAATCTCACCTTGTTATTTTCACACTTGTATGGGATTTTGAGGGTATCCATGGCCTTGATCATGGCCTGCATTGCTGTAAATATATTCTGGTACACCAGTTTTGTAAAGCCCCTTTTGTCTTCATCAGAGTAACCTGATCCATGAATGATTCTCATCTGCTTGATAAATGTGCTTTTGCCACTCTCTCCTGTGCCTGCAAGACAAATAAGAAGGATATGCTTTAGCCAGTGGACACAAACATGACTTTTTTTTTCCCCAATGCTGACAGCTTGCTTACTGCAGGGCTCAACAGTGTCAAGTGGTGCTTGGAAGGTAACTGCAAGGACCAATTCAGTGTCAAACAGTAGCATCAACAGGTACTGAGGAACAACTGAATTAAAATTTTGCATTTTGATTTAAAAACTAAACTAACGAGCAAAATGGCACTCCAAAATATCCACATTATATATGACTTCATATTTTAAAATCTTCTGTTCTTAAAGATGTAATTGTCCAAAACTCTAACTTCACGAGACATTTCATCACAAAAATTCAAAGAGGAAGAAAACTAATCCTCCTAGGCTACTTCTCAGGAAATTACAGTAAAGTAATCTGGTACTGCAAGCAACCAACACACTGCGTTTTGGGCTTTTTGTTTTGTTTTTTTTTTTGCAGGAGTGTTGGCTTGTTTGGGTTTTTAGTTTTGTTGTATTTGTTAGTTTGGTTTTTTACTTTTTGTTTGAGGGGTGAGGTTGGGTTGGTTTTTTTTCGTTTTAAGCTAGTATTGGAACAATCAGAGGTCATCAAACTTCAACCTCAGAACCATACAAAATCACTGTTAATTAAAATTTGGTTCATACTTATTAATGAGCAGTCATTCCTTCCATTAAATTTTTTTTATGTCTTTTTATACTTTGTACTACAAAGTATAAAATTAGTTTATTGATGAAATACTACTTTTTGTCAGCTTAAGATCTGCTTGTTGGAAACTTCACAAAGGTTACAACACACAACATTTTTCCTTTGCTCCAATTCAACAAGCCCATTTGTGACTATAAAAGCTTATCTATATTATCCCTGTGTTTGCTTAAGAGGAGGACTTGAATCTGCACAGCTACGTAAGCCCTGTGTTCACCCAGCTACTCAGCTCTGCAGAAAACAAAATGCATTGCTCAGTGCTGTTTCAGACGTTCAGCCTAAGCTTTATTTTAATCATTTCTGTAAAGCTTTCATGCCTCGTACCATAATACTCATATGCAGGACAATGGCATCCTTAAAGGCCTCTTAGATAACGTTTTAGGTGTTTTCTCAGAAAAGTATGTTTCACAGCAGTACAATTTATAGGACTAACCCTTAACTATTTCTGAGATAGCACACACTGTAAAATCTAAGCCTCTAAAAACTTCAGCCCTTACCACAAGCATAATTTTGAAACCATTACTCCCATTTCCTGCACACATATAATGAACTTCTAATGCAAGTTTTCTTTACACACACATTCCCAGAAAATCAAACATAATGTTACATACTACAGAATCAGCATGGTTTGGGTTACAAGGGACCTTAGTGATCATGAAATCATAACACCCCCTTGCCATAAGCAGGGACATCTTCCATTAGACCAGTTTCCTCAGAGCCCCATCTAACCTGGCCTTGAATACAGCCAGGGATAGGGCATCCACAGGTTCTCTGGGCAATCTGTGCCAGGGCCTCACCACACCTTCACATGTAAAGAATTTTTTCCAATATCTAATGTAAACCTGCCCTCTTTCAGTTTAAAGCCATTTCTCCTTGTCCAATCATGACATGCCCCCATAAAAGTCCCTCTCCAGCTTTCTTGTAAACTCCATTTATGTAAAGAAAGGCTGCTAGATCATCTCCCTAGAGATCAAGACACTGATGATACCAACTTGTGCTTTTTACAGCTTCATCCACTCATTACAGAACAAGTTAAAAATACATCATCGCAGTACATTGAAATGTTACCTATTCACCATAATAAAAACAAAAAACAACACCAGGTAACAGTTGAACAAGGCTAACCTGAACAGGACCCTTGAGTGGGCCTGTTTCATCTGGTGAGAAGAAAACCTGAAATTACATAAGAAAAAAATTTACACATTCTTCTGAGAGGATATGAAGGCCTCATGGACTCTGTTAGCCACTGCTTCCACCATCATCATTCCATGAATACCTCTAGCTGATAAAAGGTGAGAACAAAGGTGAAATGGCAGCCCAGTGGATCAGCATAATGGACCAATGGGGGAGTAAAATATACTGAGACCAATTTTCTGCTGGCTACCACTGCACATTTGAATTAGTCAAGTCAGTTCTCTGAAACCAGATGTATAGTATCTTCTCACCTCAGTGTACCTCAGTGAATGAATCTCAATCATAAGCAGAATACCATTACCAGACTCCCTCATCTTTTATAAAACATGACTTTCAACCTTCCCCTCTACCCCCTCCCAATCCTAATATAATTCCTTGTCTAGTACTTGGGAGAGAATTGAGTACTGTGACTGAATAAAATCCCATACTCCAGATTCAAACACACAGCTTGATTGTTAATCTGACTTTTAAACTTTTTCCCAAATAAAATCAATCTAATGAATGAAAAATAGTAACGGTCTTCTAAAAATAATAAACATCTGTAATAGTAATGGACTCCTGTTCAATCATGGCATAGAGGATTATCAGAATTTCTAAGAGCTTAGCGCCTTAAAAACTGAAAATTTCTGAAAACCTCTGGGTATTTTTTCTCAAAATGTTAATAGCAACAACTATTACTGCATCATCAAGAATTTTAAAACCAGAGAGCTGAAAGTACTTCTAGCAGTATTATATCCACAGGCAGAATCAGGACAGAAGTCAGGATGCTTAAATGCAGAGTAGATCCTTATGCATGCACGTGCACCCACATATATACATATCACATACAATTTACTGTATTGTTGCTATTTCTTCTGGTACTCATTCTGAAAAAAATCTACAGAATGCTGAAATAAAACATTCTTTGCTCTATGAAACTTACTGAAAAACTTTAAACATGGTTAGTTTTAAATAGATTACAATGCAGCTGCTTGCAGAGAGGTTTCAGAACTTGTGGTGACTGACAAAGATGATACAAGAGACTAATTTAAGACAACTGTAGAAGCCTAGAATGACCAGCCATTCTTTTGTATGGTTGTGCTATGCATACCTGTACTTGTCTTTGCATTTCTCTGCATTGCAACTTAAAAAAAAAATAAATAAATCTCAAGTATAGTATCTTCAGATAAAATACGGAACTTTTAAATAAAACAACAAAGATGCCATTCTCTAAGCAAAATTCACACTGGCATCTGTTAAAGAGAAACACTTCTAAACTACACTGGGGGTGTTTTTTTCCCAAGTTTGACCTACGAAAAGGCAAGGAAAACCCGCTATTATTCTGTTTGAATTTTTAAATTTTTAAATTAGATACAAGAAGACATTAACATGTAAGGAAGAAGGAGAAAGCCATTGAAATCCACTACCCCCTGTTAGTCGCTGTACACACACATTTACTAGGAACTGTCAAAACAACAGCATGTACATTTGCATAAAACTGCTTTCATGTTGGGGCTTGGATGCAGAAAGCAAGGCTAGAAGTACCTGGAGAGTGAAGATTCATGGGTCAGAGTGGAATCAACATCCTACAGAGATGAGCAGAACTGTACTATAACTACAGTTTCATCAAACATTTACTCAGATAAAGCAGTCGGTCGTACACTGGCTCACAGATTTACAGAAAAGGGGAGGAATCAATCTCATCAGATAGCAAGTAACAGAGTAACTCCTAGGAGGAGTAAGAGCTAAAACATTAATAGAAAGGTAATACATGTGAAGAAAAATACTTGATTTCACTTAAAGTTATATTTCACTTGGAAGAGGGTTTTATGTCCTCTATGCTACGAGTAATTCAGTGATATAGAAAACAAAAAAATATGGTTTGGTCTGTTGCTGTTCCAGCAGTGGAATGCAGTGGGATCACATTTCCGCTGAAACCAAGTATGGCTAAATGAAAACACAAAACAGTGTAGAATTCAGGCCTTGGACCAGCTTGTCTTTTTAGGTGACAAATTAGTTGAAAGGTATTATGGAATGCATGAGATCCTCCTGGGAGCAGAACCGAAGAAGCTAGTCTGTCCTACCATCTGGAACAGCAGCTTTCAGGCTCACAGTTGAAGGCTCATGTTGGTAGGGGTAAGTTGGTTGGTAAGACTCTAGTGAAACTCCCTGAGGTGGAGGGGAAGCTCTCCAGCTCTGGACAAGTTCTGGACAAGTTCTGGAGCGGAACTGGAGTATCTCTTCTCCATCAAAAGAAGGCAGCAAGGCTACTGAAATAAGGAGGCTCTCCCACACAAACAGGTCAGTCCGTCTGATGTGGTCATGCAAGACTATGTTCTCATCCTGACATCTTATGAAGAGATCCTTACCTCTACAACAGCCTTGACCATCACCTCTGTCAACAACTGCCACAACTGAGTTGATCTGCTTCAAGTTGGTACAGCTATTGCTCAGGCAGTTTCTAAGTGAAGACTCCCAGTACAGTGAACTTTTTTCCCTATTGCTTAAAAAGTATTATCTCTATAACACTGTATCACTTTATCATACCCTCTTGAAAGATACATAAGTACCAACCTACATCTCCAACCAATTTTTACTACTGTAAATTAGTAACTCAAACTGACCATTTTCATCTTGGTCATAAAAACACCAAAGAATTTAAGTGACAACTCATCCACAGACATGAAGAGAATTCCTGTAAGGAAGTACCAGTCCTGATAATGCATACAGCAGGCATATTTATATTTTTCATAATATGAACAGCAGTACCATTGTATCTTCCTTGTGTGATTATCAAACTCCTTAAATGACATTAACAGATTAAACCTCACAAGAGCTGCATGATGTTAGGAAGCATTTCAAAGACATTTCATTTAGTGTTACAGAGAAGCTTATGAAACAGTTAAGTACCTCAAATTTCAAGCAAAAAAAGCAAGAAAGAGGACTAAGGTGTCCTGGAATCTGTTCCTACATCAATAGCACCATGTTCTGCAGTTACATTAAAACCTGAAAGGAATAACTCCAAAAAGCCAAATTAGGTGAGAATCACAGTGATGGCTTTTTGAGATTAAACAGTGCACAAGTTTAAGAATGTCCTGGGGTGACTTTATGATACTGGTATCC